AAATGGCAAAATATAATCCCAACAATACATACAAGCTTACACATCAAGAAAAGAGCTCGTGGAGTTATTTGCATAAGAATCCTTCATACAGTGCCCATGCCATCCTGAAATCACTCTCCAGCTTCAAAAGACTTAAAAAATTACCTCCAGTCACCAATGGGACAGACAACTGAATAATGTAGATGCCCTGCCTCCTCTTTAGTTGGTGCCTCCCTCCTTTCTCCTATTAGTCGCCCCTGCCCCATCTACCTTAGCATTTCCACACACCTCGGCCAACTTTCTGAAAACTGTCAGCATTATCAAAGCCTTTCACTAACCATGTGTATGGCTATTTGTCAGGTAGAGCAAGAAGAGTAGTCAGAAAACTCTTAAGAGTATTAGCCCTTTCTACACTGAGATTAATAATTCCTCTGTTCAGAAGTGTAAAAATAAAATTGGCAGTGATAGGGAAAACTGGCTTCAGCACTTTTAGTCACAGTTGAAAAACTGTAATAGAGTACTTAGAAATGGAGGATACATTTCATTTAATAACTTCTTCATACTGACAAATTCCATTTAACTGGAACACCCGCCCAGTCAGTACACAGCATCTTGGAAGCATACGATCTCTTCATTGTTTATACAGGATCTGAGTTTCATTTATACTCTGGCAGTGTAAACAGCCTAACGTACATAATAATCAGGCGCTTGTAAGAACCTCTGGTTTTCCACCCCCACCACCCTCACTGTGGACACTATGGAAAGATGGTATATGGCAAACTGATAAAAATTAGGACTTTTCCTATTGCTAGTATGTCTGCAGCAGCACTAATTGTAAACCACACAGAGGAAACTGCCAAAAATTCCCACTGGAAACAACAGTTAGTTTATCTGTGTAAGTTATTTAGAACAATGGGTCTCGTGTATGCCAATGATCTGAAGAGTGATAGAGATGCAGCCGTGTTAGTCTGGTCTAGCTGAAACAAAAGACAGAACTATGTCGCACTTTAAAGACTAACAAGATGGTTTATTAGGTGATGAGCTTTCGTGGGCGAGACTCATTTCCTCAGATCAACATGTGGAAGAAAATCGGCACAACCATATATACCAAAGTGATACAATCAAAAAAATGAACGCATGTGAAATTGACAAATCAAATTTTAGAACAGAGTGGGGGTGAGGGGAAAGGTTAGTGTCTGTGAGATAATGACATAGGGGTGATAATGGGGGAAGTTATGTGAGGTAATGACATTAGGGGTGATAACTGGGGAAGCTATCTTTGTAATGGGTGAGATAATTAGAGTCTTTTTTTAAACCCATACATAAAGGCTACGTCTACACTGGCCCCTTTTCCGGAAGGGGCATGTAAATTTCACTAGTCGTCGTAGGGAAATCCGCGGGGGATTTAAATATCCCCCGCGGCATTTAAATAAAAATGTCCGCCGCTTTTTTCCGGCTTTTAAAAAAGCCGGAAAAGAGCGTCTAGACTGGCCCCGATCCTCCGGAAAAAGTGCCCTTTTCCGGAGGCTCTTATTCTTACTTCAAATAAGAGCCTCCGGAAATTTAAATGCCGCGGGGGATATTTAAATCCCCCGCGGATTTCCCTACGACGACTGCTGAAATTTACATGCCCCTTCCGGAAGAGGGGCCAGTGTAGACGTAGCCAAAGTGTAAAATTTAAGCATGAATGACAGTTCTGAAGCTTCTCGTTGAAGTCTGGAGGTAAAGTCTCTTTGAAGCAATATGCATGTTTTAAGGTCATTGAGGGAATGACCAGTCTGGCTGAAGTGGCAAGCAACAGCTTTCTCTCTGTGAGAGTCTTATGTCTGTTTTGTGTGCATTGATTCTTTGGCGAAGTGTCTGAATCAATTCTTCGCCAAAGAATCAATGCACACAAAACAGACTCCTCCTACAGTTCCTTTTGTACACCTATGCCTGTTTACATTGTTTCACAGAAAACAAAGCTAGTTACTAACAAGTCTGTTTGTTGGCTATTTCTTTGATGTTGTTATAAGCCACGATGATGAAATGTGCTGATGAGTCTAAAAGAGAAGTAGGGTAGCCAAATTAAACCAAAAAAATATTCCACCAACATACAAGAAAAGAAACTACAAAATGAGCTGGGGAGATTTGACCTGCAGGAATAGCTGATAATAATTATTCATACCACAGGTCCTAAGTTTTAGATCATGAGAAAATAAACTGCACAGATACAAAAGGAGTGGAAGTAGCCAACCATATACTGTATACACAGCACAAAGTGAGATTATTTTCATCTGGTCACCTTAAACATTGTTCAGTTATTATTTTTTCATTTAATCACTCACTAGAAGGTGTAAGAACAGGTTTGGAAATTTGAGAGGAGATGATGAAATGTTTGAGAATCACTAATTAGGAGACTGCTACAAATAGTTAAAAAAGAGGGTTACAGCAAAGAATCCAAAAGATATTTAAGATGCTTCAGTGAAACAAGATAAGTTTTCCAGCCAGTCAAGGTTTACACCGTTCCTACATAACGGATGATGAAATGATATTGGAGAAAAGGAAAAAAGCTTTTTTGCAAATCATTTTAATAAATAACTAAGGGAGGAAAGTCAAGTCAGACCTTTATTTTTATTTTGTGTATGCACAGATTGTACATGGGTTACAACCAACCTCAGCTTCTCCTGTACATATGGTATGTATCAGAGGGGAAAAGGCTACATGAAACTCAAAACTATATGAAACTTCTGAGGCAATAGCACTTTCGTTAGCTTCAGTAACCACCTATCCAAAAGTGTAAAGTTTGACTTTGTCATAAATTTGTTACATATTATTTAAGTTGCATAGAAATGTGAATTGACAAAACTATGTGAAAGAATTAATGCAATATATTGGCATGAGATTGAAAACTATGCTGTATGTTGTGTCTTTCCTAAGTTAAGCATCAGTTTCAATAAATATTTTAGTTTAAACTCTCATTCTGGTTTTGTATTAGTAAGCTTTTTATATTCTGCTGGCAAAGTGGATTTGGAGCCATCAACCTATGTCCCCTTTTTAGCTTGCAATCTTGTTAAGATGATTTCCACTATATCAGCATCTTCTCTCCTATATTATCCTAAACAGTTCTTGTTCTTTGTTGTCATTCCAAGCAAAACAGCATTACCTTCAATGCCAAAGTCAGATCTGCAAAGTAACCACTAACAGATATGCCTAACCTCTCACCCTCCCCACTCTGCTCCCCCTCTTTTTATTTATAATTATATATATTTGTTTTCTAAAAAACAAAATGAAAATGGACATGCTTCATTTTAAAAAAGTAGTCCCGTGGCACCATTTTTCTCTCACACTCACACTCACAAAACCCACTTCATCAAATGAGATGAGCTTGAGCATCCCACAGGGAAGGGGAAGGGGAAGGGGATATTGCGTGTAGTCATTTGGAGTAACCAATAAGCCTGGGTTTATCATCCCTACATTGGAAACCAGCCTCAAGTGACTAAAAATGGGGAAAGAGGTCTGATATACACCAGGCTAGGTATAATTAACAGACTGTACAAAGCAAGAGCCAATCATCTTGCGTCTGACCAATGAACGAAGGGGCACTCAGTAAAAGAAGGGGTCTATTGCTCTATTCATCCCCCTTTATCCTAAAACTGTTTAACACTTTGAAATTTCAATCAAGTTTCTAATCCATTAGATCCATGAGTGCTAGTGCACTCAAAATGAACTCTGATAGTATGATGATGTATTTCCTCCTTCTTCCAACTGTTCCAAAGTAATAATTATTTCAGAGAATAGCAGAGGAAATAAAATCACAATCAAAAGAAGGATTTCTTTTTCCATTTATATAACATACAGGCTGGGTTTCATATCTTTCGTAAGCAACTTCCTGCTCTTCTAAGTCCATTGAGATGCTAGGGGATAAATAATGGTATCTAGGGTTGCCAGATGGTTTAACAAAAAATACCAAAATTCCCCTCTCCCCCCCCCCCCCAAAAAAAAACACTGGGAAAAAATTCTGTCAAGGGGAGGAAAGGGGGAGACCAAAGTTGTTAAGCCAAAAAACAAAAACAAAAAGAGCCCCCAGAACAGAATTGTCGAGCAAAACAAAATTAATTTTTTTTTAAAAGGAGGCTGTCCCTATAAGATGGCCACCATCTTGGGTGCCATTTTTAAAACCCCACAGCTCTGACCCAGTTAGCACAGGGAAGCTGGGGGAGGGGGGGAGCTGGTGGAGGGGCGTTTGGGGGGAGGCACACAGGAGTGGCTTCATGAGCCACACTTTTGGAGGGAGCTGCGAGCCACGGGTTGGCCACGGCTGGTGTTGAGGGAGGCAGCACATGGCCAGTCCTGGGTCTCTGCTGGTCACGTGGGCCAGAGCAGCATGCACTCTGCTCTCTCCCCAATCCGGCACCCCCCTAGCGTGGTGCCCGGCAAGTGCCTCCTCCTGCCCCCCTTCACTACGACTCTGCCGCGCTCCTCACTCCCCCACCCCCACCAGACGTGGCAGGAGAAAATTGTCACTGCCAGGCTTCAGTCCGAGGAAAACAGGAAATACCGGACATTTCACATGTCCAGTATTTCCCGTTTTTTTTAACTGGATGAAGCCTGCAAATACTGGACTATCGGGGTGAATACTGGACACCTGACAACCCTAACAGTATCCTCTTGTCGTACTGGTATTAGGGCAAAAGAAATTGCATGCAAAAAGTATAGATAGGCACTTCAGTTTCTTCTTGAGAATAAGCAAGTCATGTTTTCTACAGAAGCTAAAAGTCTGGGAAAGCTATTGCATCAACCAACTGTATTCAAACATTTTTTAAAAAGAAATCAGTCATAGAATTTAATCAGATAACTGCTTCTGACGACAAATTATAAGCCAGAATAAATCTTGTGTGCTCAATACATCTAGTTGCATAATGTGAAAAATATTTCTTGTGGATGCTGAAAGGTCAAGTTCCTTCAGTTTGTTCAATATCTTCTTCACTATCCAGATAGAACAACCAACATGAAAATATATTTTAATAAAAATCTCTTACCTCAACCTCTCTTCCTCTTTCTTGCGAAGGCTGAAATCTCGTTGAACCACCTGAAGGACATGCTCTGCTTCATCATCAGTCAAACCAGACAGATCCAGTTTCCTCCCCATTATTTTCTCTATCCTAGATATGAACAATAAAGCGGTACCTGAAATAAAAAAGGCAGCAAAGTACCTAGTGAACAACTTGAAAGCATTGACTAGACTTCAGTGATTGCATAAAATAAAGGACTATTATGGCCATAACATCAGAGGACAAGCGATTCTCTATATGCAGTTTTTTTAACCCTCTAACCTGCACAAACGTTATGGGGGATTGTGCACCACCGTTAATTTCCTTCATTCCACCTCGATTTCAAATTGAAATTCAAATGTTATTTTTAAAAATGATCAATTATCACTTCTTCACTTAGTAAATGGCAATATTGAGATGCTACTTTACCCACAAGTAATATGATACTATGATCAGAAAGATATTTAGAAAATCCAAGAGTTCAAAATCAAATCAACTACATGTAGACTTTGGAAACCAATAAAATAAAATTTTATTTCCAAGAAAATCATAGGATTTTTTAAAAAATTCTGATAGAGATCCCTATGGAGAAATGAGATCCATGCTTGTTGAATGCCTTGCCCTATTAGACTGAATACCTCAAGTTACCAGGTTGGTCTTAATCCCTCTAGAAATGTTTTTCATAAAACTGGCCTTCAGTAACATTCCTAAGAGAAATTTGGTATACCCTGAACAAATCTGCATAAAAAAATAGGTGGGGAAAAAAAGAAAATACTCAGAGTAGAACATTCACCACAAACCAATGCAGTAAATAATTACTAATTTAAATTTAGCCTTAAATGTAAAATTATGAAGATTGGAAAACAAAGATGAAGTGTTGAACAAATAACTCATCACTATATCTATAGAAACAAAGGAACAGAGACAAACATCTGAGTTAGAGGATAATGCCAGACAAGTTAATGAGCTCTAGCGAGAAATAGAACTACAATTTAAAAGACACAGAAAAGCAAAAGAGTTGAGAAAATACCCAAATAATGGGACCAAGAGAACATAAAAACAGGAAAATTCAATAAAATATTTGAGGCCTGGATATGAGAACTTTTCAATTGAATAGCAACAAACAAGCATTAAATTTGTAACAGAAGTACAAACAGATTCAAATTAAAAACAGGAAGTGTAAACAACAGATTTGCTGGCATACAAAGAGGAGCAAGACTATAATACTCTACAGCTTCTAGGATCATCAACAAAAGATTCTGGACATGGTCTCACTCAAACAAAAATCCACAGAAGGAAAGAAAAGGATCTCTTTCATCAAGGATTAGGATATCTACAGAGAAAAGGAGATTTTTTTAAATTGCCTAAACAGCTCCACAGTATACTAGGGATGTTAACTGTTGGGCATTTGTGTAAATGTGTAATCACTTGAAACTTTAGCTGTTATACGTCTACAGGAGCCACAGCTTAGAATTCGGAAAAGAGGAGTCAAAACAAGCTCCGCAAGAACTTGAAAGTTAAGCAACAAACTTACATGGATCACCTAATAAACCATCTTGTTAGTCTTTAAAGTGCTACATAGTCCTGTTTTTTGTTTCAGCTACACCAGAATAACACGGCTACATTTCTATCACTATTTTACATGGATCAGTAAAGACTCAAGATCACCTCTCTCCAAACTGTTTCGCAGCTAACACACAACCATACTTAATTAAATTCTGGAAATACATAACTGGGATATGTTATTGTCTTTGATTTATTTATAGTAATTATATTTCTATTGTAATGCATTACAGCAATTGAGAGTTAATCATAAGGAGAAACCAACAAAATCCCATAGAATTTTCTTCAAAATATGACCGTGTAAGTAAGATACCTATTTGTCAAGTTCAGAAACCAGCATCATGTCTGGGAACTATGCTGCCAACCTGGAAAGGCACATTCAAAAGGTGCCCTGAGGAATAATCTGCAAGTTCTTAAGGGGAAAAAATGATATAGATGGATCACAATTATCTTGAACCACCCATATCCAAGAAGCTCACAACACAAGATACATTGGATTCCACATTCACAACTATGGGTATGTCTACACTACCCGCCTAGTTCGAACTAGCGGGGTAATGTAGGCATACCGCACTTGCAAATGAAGCCCGGGATTTGAATTTCCCGGGCTTCATTTGCATAAACTGGGCGCCGCCATTTTTAAATCCCTGCTCGTTCGAACCCCGTGCCGCACGGCTACACGCGGCACGAACTAGGTAGTTCGGACTAGGCTTCCTAGTCCGAACTTCCGTTACTCCTCATTCCACGAGGAGTAACGGTAGTTCAGACTAGGAAGCCTAGTCCGAACTACCTAGTTCGTGCCGCGTGTAGCCGTGCGGCACGGGGTTCGAACGAGCAGGGATTTAAAAATGGCGGTGCCCAGTTTATGCAAATGAAGCCCGGGAAATTCAAATCCCGGGCTTCATTTGCAAGTGCGGTATGCCTACATTACCCTCCTAGTTCGAACTAGGAGGGTAGTGTAGACATACCCTTAGGCAATTAGAACAGTTGATTAAGCAACCTTACTGGATGCTCACCTACAGTCAGTCACTGTAAATGGAAGACTACTGAAGCTAATGGAGGGTTCAGGATTTTGCAAAATTGTTGACTCCATTCTGGAAGGGTTAGGGATGAAACCTACACTGAAATGCTAAAAATAAATGAGACGAAATTACTACTGTAGCAGCCACTGTTCAAGAGAGGATCTGTGACAGGGCGCTCGCCCTGCACTGGCCCTTTAAGGGCAGACCCCGGCCTGAACCAGGGCTGGGGAATTTAGCCCAGCTGAGGCTGTACTAGCCCATTAGGGCCCAGCTGGGCGCTATAATAGAGAATGGGCTGCTGCTGTGAGGGGAAGCAGTGAGAACCTGGCTGCTGAGGGAGGAGGAGGCTCCCTGGAGCTAGGGCAGGGCTGGGGAGGCCAGGCAGGGCTAGGGGAGCTCTGGCCCGCAAATCCCCAGACTGCAGGGCTTGAAGGAAGGCCCGCTGGAGGAACATCAACCCCCGGAAGGGGGGCTCAGAGACAGACTTGGGCACTGCCGGAGGGCAGTGTGGCGAAGAGGACGCCGCAGCCGGGAGTAAAGAGGGGAGACACCACCCCAGAGAAGGCACCCCACCTGCCGAGGGAGCCAATTCTGGAAGACAGACGGCAGGGGGATACGGTGGTGAGTGCGAACCCCCTCACAGGATCACAAAACAAGTTAAAGACTAATTTCTGTGAAAGCGGATTGCACTACTACACAATTTAGCATAACATTATAACCTAAATGGAGGTGAGTGTGTAACTGTCTGGAAAACTATTTCCACAGTTATGGTTCACAGTCATAATGGCCGAGCATAACAAGTGAGGTCCCACGGGGATCAGGTATGGGTCCAGTTCTGTTTAATATCTTCAATGATTTATATAGTGGCAGAGAAAGTACACTTGCAAATTTTTCCAGTTTGGTATTGTCCACAAACTTTGGAAGTGCTTTGGAGGACAGGATTAAAATTCAAAATGATCTGAACAAACTGGAGAAATGATCTGAAGTAAACAGGATGAAATTCAATATGTACAAATGTTCTTCCAGAGTACTTTGCAATCAGTTGCACATACACAAAATAGGAAATGATTGCTAAGGAAGAAATTGTGTGGAAATGGACTTTAGAATCATAGTGGACCATAAGCTAACTATGAGTCCATAGTGTAAGAAAGCTAACATCATTCTGGGATGCATTGGCAGGAGTGTTGTAAGTAACACACAAGAAGTAATTCTTCCACTCTCCTTCGCACTGGTAATTGTGTCCAGAAAGATGTGGACAAATTGGAGAACATTGTGAGAAGAAGAAAAAATGATTAAATGTCTAGAAAACATGATGCATGAGGCAAGACTGAAAAAAACAGGCTTGTTTAATCTGGAAAGAAGACTGAGAGGAGACATAACCTTTTAGGTACTTGAAAACCATTGTAACAAGGAGGGGGGAGAAAATTACTCTTAACCTCTGAGGAGAGGACAAGCAGCAATGGGCTTCAATTGCAGCAATGAAGGTTTAAGCTGGACATCGGGACAAATTTCTTAACTGTCAGAGTAGTAAAGCACTGGAATAAATTGCCTAGAGAGTAGGAATGTAAAAGGGTAACTGGTTAACCAGTGGCCCAGCCCTGGCCAGAGCACCAGTTAAACAATAGTTTAACCAATTAACATTTTAAATAGGATTTTACATCCTTAGAGAGGCTGTAGAATCTCCATCATTGGAGATTTTTAAGAGTAAGCAAGACAAACAACTATTAGGCATGGTCTAGAGCAGCGGTTCCCAACTGCCAGACTGCAGCCCGCTGCCAGGCCGAGACCTCTGGCTGCTGGGCCGTGGCAGCTCTGGGGCCCTGGGCTAGGGTACACTGCTCTCACTCCAGTTGATGGGAGAGGCGTCTCCTGCCCCACCTGTCAGCCAACCAGTGCCGGGCAGGTGCAGGGTCTCCTCCCAGCCATAGAAGAGCACTTCCCACATTGCCCTCCTGCCGCACAGTGAACTGCTGTTCTGCGGCCAGGAGCAGACCCAGCCCCTGTCCAGCACTGACTGGCTGAGAGGTGGGGCAGGGCACGCCGCTCCCAATAGCCATGGCAGGAGGGGAGGCGCTGGGCGGTGTACCCCCTCCCCCAGAGCCGCAAACACGCAGGCAGCAGCACAGAGCTAGGTGAGGGGGGCAGGGCAGGAACTGGGGGTTCCAGGAATGAGGTTAATGCTGGGGGCTCTAGAGCCTGTATTACTAGTGGGGAGGGCTATGGGGGCAGGGCTGGCACTGGGGGAGACTCGGGGGATTGGTTGCACTGGGGCTTTGGAAACAGAAGGCTGGTACTTGGGGGGGGGGTCTGGTGGTGTGGGGGACTTTCTGGGATGGGGGAGATGGTACTGAAGCATTTGGGATGGGGGGGCTGGTAATGGGTGGGAGAGGGTTGGGTGCAGGGGACTCCAGGGTCCAAGGCTAGCGCTGGGGGATAGTACAGGTGTGAGGCATTCTAAGGGTTAGGGCTGGCACTGGGGGGAGGAATATACAAATAAAATGTTGCCAGTCCACCAAAAGTTTGTGAATGGGTTTGCCTGTCCCCGGTATCA